CGTCCTCCCCCCCCCCCCCATCTTCTATCTAATAATTAGTTATCTCGTCCTATATCCATTCTTCGTGGTAGTTGGTCCTCACCTATGTAGTACTCTGTCCGTTTTGTAGTCTGTACCGTGTTGTAGTTTTTTTTTCTTCGATGTTTGTAAAGAGCGGAGGTATGCAAACCGTGTGAAAAATCTTTTGTCTATACAAAAAAAGTGACTCGTTCTACGAGAGGTATTATTTTTGTCCCGCTGATATGGTGCTGTGGAAGGTCTGTGTGAGACTCTGTGCTCCCCCTCCGGGATTTGGTAAAACCCCTCCTCCGTTGTGCAATGAACCATTTCCGGACGTGAGCGGAAAAAATATCAATAAAATATGTGTCCACCAATGAGAAGCGTCGGTTGATCAATGTGTGTCGGGATGTACGGCTGGGCCGTAGGCGGATAAAGCCCGAGATCGAAGTACCGGAGGGAAATCCAAAAAGAGTAGTCGGGTCCGGCAGCGAGGTTCAAGGGCGAGAGGGCAGGCGGAACGGTCCGCAAAACGGGAGGTCAGTCAAGTCTCAGGAAACAGATCCACACACAACGGGGGCTGGGCGACCACCATGAGGTAGAGTAACTCAGCAATGAGTCAAGGCTCTGACCGGCTTTATATACACAGGGAACGCCCAGGACCGCCCCCTGGCTGCCGAGGCAACCAGGAAGCATCCTCAGTCAGGAGCCAATCGCAGGGCTGACGGGGGCAAGTGGCGAGTGCTGGGGACCTCCCCCAGTCTGACTGGCACCTGAAAGTGCCGAGTGGCGCAGGCGCACTACGCTCGCGGCTTGTGTACCGGACATGCGCCGCGCACTCCACGCATGCGCACCGGCAGACCCGGCGCCCTGCCAGGAGGAGGTGTGTCCCCGTGCCGGCGAGCCTGCTGAGGAGCGGTACCCCTGGTTCCCTGACCGGGGAGGGGAGTCATGGTGGAGTCTCCTGGTCTGTCACTCTAGGTGTGATGTCATGGTGGGGACTCCCCAGTCACACCAGACTGGGGGAGGGGAGTCTGAGGAAACGCTTCCTCCTGCCTGCAGCAGACTGGGGGAGGGGTAGACTGAGGAAATGCTTCCTCCTGCCTGCAGCAGACTGATTACTGGGGGGAGGGGAGACTGAGGAAATGCTTCCTCCTGCCTGCAGC